GAATATGAATATCTCGTGTGATTTTTTTCTCCAGAAAGAACTATCGTCCCTGTCTGTCTATTTGAAACTGAAAGTTAAACAGAAATCTAATATCTTCACACATATCTGAACTACGAGCATCAGTTGTTTCTTTTTTTTCATATATGGAAGGTAATTTTGGATTATCAAATCTATGGATTAAACAACGTGATCTAGGATTCAAAGGATACCGCCGAGCAATAACTAAGCAGTAAGAAATAAAACCAAGTCAAAATATCTCCAGACAGGATCAGCGGAACGAGAACAGTTATTCCCTGAAGACAGACTCCTGATGAAAGCCGAAGAGCACATCAACTGAAACGTCGTGCTAATAACAACAAATATGAGGTCAATAGTCCACTTGAAAATAATGCAAATAATTATAGCTCCTACTCATCCCAGAACTTAAGACAGAAGTTATGAAATCTTAAGATTGAATATTGAATATGTCCAATAATCAGTTGAAATGAATATATTTTTATTGGCAAGTATTTCGTGTTTCTTTTTCCTTCACAAAAGGTTTTCTTGTAATGAGTTCTATTTTCAATTTTCTTACAGATATTAAAAAAAATCAGTCAATGTTCATACTTGCTATTTATCGAATGTAAAGCCAGAAAAGAACTCAAATGAAAAAGTTTGCGAAAGGCGTTAACAAAGCCATTTTGTTTCTTGTTGCTCGTTTCGATTTCTGTTGCTGTTAAAAATGAAATAAGCGAATTATTGAGCAAAGCGCATGGAATAACAGGAGCTCGTCATACAACAAATGATGAAATTTTCAGGAGAATATCAACTACAAATAAACCGTTGCTAACAATTAAAAAGAGACAGCTGACATTTCGAAGACACTTAATGTAGAAGGAGGATTTGGAGAAATTAACACTCACGGGATATATTGAATTCTTTAGAAGCAGAAGAAAATAGCAGGTAACCTGCTTGGCAATGACGGAAGGAAGAAAGACATGTCTGGTAGATAAACAAAGGTCAGAAAAATTCAAGTCCTGCTGAATTCAAGAAAGTACAGAACATCCCTGAAAGGACAAAGCACATAGAGAAGGGATGTAAAGAACTGTTTTTGTTAGATTAGCTGACTGACATCCGCTAACGTCTTTTTTTATATATATATACCTTTCAAGACACGATCATGTCTCTCTACAGCTTCTCACCCTTTGTTGCTCTAAGCAATGTTTATTTCGTTTACCCCTCCCTGTCCGCTTTTGAATATTTTCAGCTATGTTACTTGTTGATTACCTCTGTCCGCCTTTCTTTTGAGTGCCATATTCTCTGAGCCGTCTTTCTTTTTTATGTTCCCTAGACATTTTAACTGTCTATTTCTGAACAGATAGTTATTTTCCAAGCATAGCTTAGATGTGGCACAAGGCCGAAAGTATGGTGCATCTAGTGAGGATCGAACTCACTTTTCAGTTGTAACTGATCTAGCGAGACAAGCTTGCTAACCATTACACCACGCCGAAGTGCCCGTTCTGAACAGATATACTTAGTATAGCATGTCTAAGCATACTAGATCATAAAATGGCAGTTGAAATCTCTAGGATGCATGATAGGGAAAGAAAGCTTAGAGAAAATTTCTTTCTGTTTCCATTAAAAGATTTCTACTCATATGTTTCACTCATGGTATCCGAAATATCTTTCTATAGAATTATATCTCAGTTGGCTTGGCTTCTCTTGTTCAGCGAAGAAAGGCTCCAGCATTCACTGCAACTTAAGAGACTGTTATACAGTAGATAGAAAATCATGTTTGGCACAAAGACAAATTCATGAAGCAACTAGTGGGTAGTCAACTCACTATGAATAACTTACAATCAGAACATTTCCCATCAATAATATTACCAATTCTCGGACTTCAATTTTAATATAAACAATCAGCATGGCCCGGCGTTACCCGTGCTTGATTCAAAAATCGTACGACTCATACAGCAATGGCTATCACTTGACTTAAAATGTTTTTGCCCTTCCTTGCCTTTAAAGGAGTGCCCTTTGCCGTGCTAATGTTGCTACATGCCTTACTTCTTGCTTATCTCACACTGCGAATTTTTTCTAAGCTCTATACTAAACATTAAATCTGTTACAAAAAAAGAACTAAACAAAATGAACACAAAACGATCAGCTTTAAAAAAGGACTCGTAACTGGAAAAACCGAATGAAAAAAGAATGTTAACAACAAATACTTTTTCACACCCAACCCAGTTCTGCGGAATCAGAATCAATGTTGAGTTTGAGCAAGCGGATGATCCAATTGGAGTAAAGTGCCATGCAGATTTGAATTTTTCCCACTTGTGACGAATGCAGCTATCGATTTTTTTTGCATACTAGCATGCTAGTTAACATTCGTGTCAGTCATTTGTTGGATCTCACGCTGGCCAATAGAATCTTCCTGCCTATTCGTGGCAGCCACCTATAGGCTCTCACTCTGGCCAGTACAAAATGACCGCAAACTACATGAAAACCTCCGGAGAAACATGAAAAAATCGATTATTTCCACTATCGATGGGAGTTGGGAAATGCAAAATCGGTCTTGACCTTCCTGCTAACTTGGAGCATGTGAATTTTGGTGCAAATCCGTCGAAAATTGCGGCCATGCATTCGTTACACACACACACACACACACACACACACACACACACACACATCCTGCCTTTTATAGATAGCGATATATAATCCCCTGAAATTGCTTTTAAGCTCTTTAT